TGTACCTGAGTGTGCTGCCATGTTTGTAGTCCTCTCTGCAGTCTGTAGGGTGAACACCAGATGGAAGCAGTGCTCAGCTGTTGCTTCATGCAGCTCCAGATTTTCCTGCAGATCATCTGTGGCGTGATGTCGGTAAGATTGAGTTCTGCAGCTCATTTTTCCATATTCTAACTTGGTCAGTCTGATGATAGCATTGTGGAGTTTCAGATGTGTGCCATGCAAATTACGCACACGTTTAGCACAGCTGTATTTGCATCCTTCTGACATCAGAAATCAGTTTTGTTTTCATTATGAAAAAGTAAAGCAGTTTTTTTTCTGTGCATTTGTTTGTTTAACCTCAGCGGGAATAGATTTGTGTTGTTTTATAATTTGTCTGAATTTACATTAAGTGTATCTTATCCAAATAAATAAAACAACAATTACAGCAAAACAGAAATATTTATTCAAATCTTTTTTTAGCCTTTAGTCCTAAATATTTTTATACGCTCTGGGTGTATTTGTAATCCCTCGTTTATCTCTTTGTTTGCAGACTTTAAATGCTCTGTGTAGTGGGGGTTAGTAGTGGAATATTTGCTGCATCCTGTTCAAACCTAACAGCCTTCTGTGTTGGGACACTAATGACTTTAGTCTATCATCATTTGAATGAACTCTGTAAACAAAGCTTCAATTAAACTTCCCCTCCTGAACAATTCTCTCCTTTCTTGGTTTCTAAAAGCATGTCCAAGGCTTTCTGCATGGAAATGTGGCATCACTAAACAAATGTAATCAGGTGTGTGGTTGAAACCGCGGGTCCCTTGAGCATCACCGAGCCAGGAAAAGGTTTGTCCGCAGTGATTTGTGAGTGAAAGGACGAGTGGTTGTGGCTTCCACTCACCTTGAAACGCTCCGTAAAAAGCTTCGGTGGAGTCAAAGGCAGAACATTTTATTCAAAGTCTGCAGGTTTTTAAACAGACGAGCCGAACAAAAGAACATCCATTCACAGACACAAAGAAGAAGGGCTGATGAATCGGTTTGACTTCATCTGATCTGTTTTCTCTCTTTACATAAAAAACATATTAAAGCATTTATGTATTTCATTATTTCACCTATTGAACACTTGTGATTGTAAAATAATATATACAGTCATATTTGTTTCAACATTTTTAACATTAAACTGTGTTTGGTGGAGCATGTTGTTGGAAAAACCTCCAAAGGGAGGCCTCCAGGAGGTCCCCTGATCAGAAGAACCTGACTCCTTATGATGCAGAGGAAGAGCAGCTCTACTCCGAGCTCCCCCCGGGTGACAGAGCTCCTCACCCTTTCTCTAAGGCTGAGCCTGCTTGGATCCAGGATCTGGTTCTGTTGGTCCTGATCCTGCCCTTATGACCACAGGTAAATCCAGACCTTTGCCTTTAGACTAAACACTTTATTCACCACGACCGATCGGTGCAACGCCCTCATTACTGAGGATGAGTCATTGATATCCACTCTATCCCACCATCAATGAGGAACAAAACACCCAGATATCTGAACCCCTCCACCTGAGTCAGAGACTCCCCCCTGACCCAGTTCCACCTGTCAGACCGAACCAGAAACCTCAGTGGAAAAACATCAACTGCATCACAACAGTTAGTTGTTTTTTAAATTATTATTTTTATTTTATTTATTTTTGGAGTTGAAAATTATTCAATTCATTCAGCTGAAATCCTTCCGTTCTCAGTCCTCTCCCGTCTCCACGGGTGTGTCTCAAGGCTCTGTCCTCGGAACCCTCCTCTTCATCATTTACCTCCTTCCTCTAAGTCACATCTTCTGCAAATTTGGTGTCCATTTCCACTGTTATGCTGATGACACACAGCTCTGCTTGTCAACCAAACCAAACTCCATCCTCATCGACTGTCTCCGTGAGCTCATTCACTGGTTTTCTAACAATTTCCTTCAACTAAACAGTGACAAAACAGACATCATCCTTGTCGGTAACAAAAACTCTGTTTCAAAATAACATCTGCTCTGTTCATGACTACTCTGAAAACACATCTATTTAGACAACCTTATCCTTCTTAACTTTGTTTTATGTGTTTTATATTATTTATGTATTTTATATTTCAGTTTATTCCTGTTGGTCTTGTACTGTTTGTTGTAACACAATCTTATCTGATATGTTTCTTGCTGTAAAGTGTCCTTGGGTGTCCTAAAAGGCGCTTTTTAAATAAAATTATTATTATCATTTAGTTATTTTTTTACATCTTTTTTTGTTTGTTTTATGTTTTTTTACTAAATGTATCTTTGCATTTTTATTACTTATTGT